TCAAGTCAATTATATTTTTATTTTTTGATGCACATTTTTAAATCAAGTAACCAACCATCAAAATCAACATCAACAGGGAAGAATAAAGTAAGAGTTGGTTCTTTTGGTTGAGAAGAAGTTAATGTAATTGTTCTTAATGAAGGATCAGAATTATTTGAAGTAATACTTGCATTTAGAAGATTAATAGTATATTTTGGAATAAACAATTGTTTTTTCTTTGTACAAACATATAACATATCACTCATTAAAATAACAGTAGCAACAAGTTTAGATTTTGCTTTAACTGTAATAATACTATCTCTTAAGAATTTTCTATTATTTGGAGCAGAATAGTTTTGGATAGTACGAGAATAAGTTAATAAAGCTTGTGCCTTTACCATTTTCTTCTTTTCTTGATCAATTTCTGTAGTAACTTTCTTTCCTAATAAATAAACTTCTTTTAATGCATGGTACTCGTCTTGAACTATTTCTGGTGTAGATTTAAGTAAAGTTTCAAGAAGTAAAATATAACGAGGTAATCGTTGTACAGGAAGAATTAAAAAGTTAGGTAAAACGATACAAGACTGTGTCCATTTTGTAATTTGAGTTTTCATTTGAGAAGAATAACCAGCATAATTATATTTTAAAGATTCTTCTGATTGAGACAAATATTTAAGATATTCTGGTTGAAGTGCTTTATTGTTAAATAATTCTCTAAATATATCTGATACAATAATTAATGTTTCTCCTTTTTGTGAATTAAATCGTTCTTCCAATTTCTTTAAAAATTCTTTATGTAATTTATAAATATCTTTATAATTACCAATCATTTCTTCAGCTGGTGGCATTAATTGAATTAAAGTAGGAAGGATAGTAGTAACAAATTTCTCCATTTGATTAACATAAGTTTTTTCTGTTGTATACATTTCTTGAACAATTAACCTTCTCTTTTCTTTTTTTAAGTTTAATTCAGCAAGCATTTGAGCATCATTAACAGTAACTGTTGAATTTGAATTTGCAACTTGTGAGAATGTAGGAAGATTTAACATCTCTTTAGTAACAGCCTTATCTTTATCAATTCTAATTGATTTACGTTCTCCGAGATAAGTATGAGCTCTTGATCCTTCATGTTTTTTACATGTTTGAAAAGCAGATTTTTTAGGAGAAGAATCTTCCTCTTTCTTTTCTTCTCCAATACAAGAAATATTAAGTGATCCTTCACTAGAGTTAGTTGATTCTTTAGTTGAAACTTCATTATTATAAATACTACTTTCTTGTATTGGTTGTTCTTGTTTAGCTTTCTCTTCTTTAACACAATGCATTGATTCAAGAACTTTTTGCATATTATTTCCTTGAACTTCTCCTGTTTTTTGTTCTTTCTTTGAAGCAACATTTAAAGTATTTTGGAATGTTTGTAAATGGGCTAAAATATTTATTGCAAGAGCCTGTTGTTTTTGAGTTAATTCATTAATTTTTTCAGTTAAAACTTTTATACAATCAAAGAAGAGTAATTGATTTACCATTTCTTCATCATAGAGAATATTATTCATAGTATTAAGAATAACATCAATAGTAAAAGATTGTAATTCTTTATGGTGTTGAATACCTTGAATTAATTTATTAGTAAAACCATATTCTTTCGGTAAAGACTTTGTTTCTGGAGAATAAAATACATATTGAATAATATTAAATGCAACAGAAACACATTCACCATCAACACCATCTTTAAATGGAAATTCAATTAAAGACATTAAATATAACATAATACCTTCTTCACAAAATCTTTGAAGATTACCTTCATTTCTAATAAGTAAACGAAGTAATTTAAGAACTCTAAG